GGCGAAGAGTCTGACGACCCACTCTGATACCCACGAGCTCGTGCTACTTTCTGGCAAAAGCCTGGCAGTAGAAATCTCTGCGCAAAACAGTATACCCCTTCTCTTAATAATAACAAAAATAAAGTTTCTTTTTAACAAAAGAAACTATCCTTTAAAAGAAAATAAACATTTTTAAAATATGTTTTAGGAAAATAATGTAAATAATTTCACAATAAAATTTGTCTTTCAAATAAAATAAAAATAGTTGTAGACCCCTAAATTTATCGGATATTCCATTTTATCATTCTTTTTTTACTTAATTTGTAGTAATTTTCCAATAGAATTTTTGTTTATATTTTGTGGGAAATATTTTTTTTATCAAAAAATAAAAATAAAAAATATGAAAAATATTTCGTTTAAATGTCGATTTTCTTATATTTTTTTTAATCAAAATCATTTTTAATAAAAAAACGTAACAAAATCATAAATTTTTTTTATTAAATATAAATTTTCATGTTTTCTCAAAATAAAATATTTTCAATAAAAAGAAAACAAAATCTTACTCATATGGAAAATTTTAAATTTTATTTAACATAATTTGGGTAAAAATCAAAATTTGTAATAAAATGATAAGATTTGATTGATTGTGCAATGAATGAAAATATTTTTTCCATTTGTAAATTAGAATTTTGAAACACTATAAATAGGAGCTTGGTGTCTACGTTTAGGGGGACGGAAGAACTACATCACAAAAGAGGTCTACTAGTTAGTGATTTTTATTTTTTGCTCTCTTCTAAAGTTTGCTTCCTTTTGTTTTAATCTCGATTGATCACTTTAGCATTCTCCCACAAACTCCGATCTCACCCCACCTCACTCGTTTTTCATATTCCACAACGCAGTCTCTCTCTCGTTTTCTATTTTTATTTATTTATTTTCTCTCTTCCACTTACCATAACTTTTTCATCATCTTCCTTTCTTTTTTTGGTTACTACTTTTGTTTTATTTTTTCCCCTCTCCTTATTCACTTTCTCTCAATTTTTGCTCTATCACTATTTTCTCCACAATTTTCTTCTTCATCTTTTGACTCGCACCGCATTTGAAGGAGGAAGTAAGAATCGGAGTTTGCTTGCAAAATGGTAAGTTTTCATGCTCTTGCCGAGTAAAGTAGGTTGATATACTTCATCATATATATTTTTTTGCCTACATATGTTCCAAGTACAAGTTTAATTCTTTCGACATTATTTTCGGGATATATTTCTTGTCTAGTTTTATTTCATCTTGTTTTTCCTTTTCCCTATTGCCAATTTCATATTATGGTTGCTTGAACTATTTGTAAGATGATATTTTATTGATTATATTTCTAACATGTTCTTGATAAGCACCAAGGTTGCTCGTGTTTACAAAGCTAGAGGTCCTTCTAGGATCCTTGCAAACATTCACAAAAACGACTAACTTACCGAATGATTCCAACCAAGAGTAAGGTTAGAAGATGAATCACTCTTAGATCGGACTTAGAATCTACGATAGACACTCCTAGATCCTAAGACGACTCACTCCAGAATTAGCTTGATCGAGACTAATCCAATGAATCGRTTTAACATCAAACCTAAAGCAAGATTTGAAAGAAGCAACACCAAAAGTGTTAAGGAACAAAAGTTCTTGAATTTCAATATGTTTTAATCTTCCAAAACAAGGTGATTACAAGCCTTTAAATAGGCCAAAGGGTCGTTCAACATGAGGAACACCAAAAGTCTTTCAAATCCTATTTAATGCAAATTGTAGAAAATAGAACATGCAAATTAAAACATGATTGCACATCAAACTAGACAACTAAATGTAAATCCAAAAATGTAAAATTGCTTGAAATTGTCTTGGAAATCACATGTAGGAGGCGCTTTACTTTTGGATGAGATTTGACAAGCTTTGACATCACAAACTC